AAGATGTCATCTATCTAGGATTTACAGAATGAACAAACAATACTAAGGTTGTACTACCTTGTTATTCTTTGGTGGAAATATGGAAATATATATAACAAAACACAGATACAATCAGGTCCGGGAAAAGTCTATTCCCTTTACATCAGCGTCCAAATACAAACCAAGGCCCTGCGGGCAATTAACAAAACAAACAAACCCCGTAACAGTATGGCCTATAGCAGCTAAATGATCAGCACACTGATTAGCCTCTCTAAATATATGACGAAGACGAACACGAGGGATTTGAGCCATCAGTTCCCTGCATTCCAAAATCATGGTATGAAATGGATGATTAACAGAATCATAATTAGAAAGTAACTTAAAGACAATCAAGGAGTCCATCTCCACAATAATGTTTTGAATACCCCAGTTCCTTGCCATAACCAAGCCATCCCGAACACCCCAAAATTCAGCACCAAGAGCGGAGGTAATGCCTATATTTCTGGCAAAACCAACCACCCATCTACCCAATGAGTTCCTAATCAATCCACCACAAGCAGTAGCCCCAGAAGTTCTCAATGAAGAGCCATCTATGTTTAACTTGAAATAACCCTCAGGGGGTTTATCCCATTTGATATTGTTGCAAACCAAGGAGCCATTAACAGTTGTAGGATAGGGAGAAGTGGAGATGAACTCCATTGCCCTTTCTTTAATTAAGATTTTTGCCCGGTTGGGGTCATAACTCTGTGGCCGATATATTTTCTCATTCCTCTGCAGCCAAATGATCCAGATGACAAAGGAGAAAAGAGTTCCCCATTGGACAGGAATTGAAGGACTAGGGGTAGTCTTAGAACAATTCATTTGGAGCCATAAAAAGAAAGGTGAATCCTCCTCATAACTATTTTCCCCAGGAAAAAAATATTCCCATAAATCACGCACAGATGGACAATTTCTAAACTAATGGGAACAAGATTCCACTGCAGATAAGCATAAAGGGCAAGTGGGTGACTCAACAATCCCCAACTCGTGAAGGAACCCAAGGGTTTTGAGGCGTTCATGAGATAAAAGCCATATGAACTGTTGGATCTTAGGAAGGGTTTGGATTTTCCATATCCATTTCCAGTCTCCTTTGGGTGAGTGGTGTAGACCTTTAGCAAGGTTATACGTAGAGGTTGATGAAAAGGAGCCATCAGATGATCCTTTCCAGCAAAAAGAGTCAGTGCTGGAAGAAGTTATGGCAGTCGGGGTAGCTGAGATGATTCTCACTAAATCCTCTTCAATAGGATAGGAGATGTTATTGGGTTGAAACCTTCCGTTAACGAAAGCATCAGCAACGGTGAGCTGCCTGTCTTGTGAAGAGATAGGTTCGGATAATAGGTTGCTAAGGGGGGCATCCATAACCCAGCAATCATTCCAAAAGGAAATGGATCGCCCATTATAAGGCACCCATTTAATACCTTTTTGGAATAATTCACTACCCTTCCTAATGTTATTAAGCATTGGGGAACCATTCCTAGGAATGGGGGAGGGCTGTGTCCCAATTCCATATTTTGAAGCAATTATCTGGCACCAAAGTTTGTCTCTTTCTGAGAATAATCTCCAATTCAGCTCGGCCATTGCAACCAGGTTAGCCTCCTTGGCACTTTTCAGGCTAAGTCCTCCAAGAGACTTAGGGAGAGTCACTGTATCCCAGGCAACCATATGTATCTTTCTCTTTAGCAAGTCCGATCCCCAAAGAAAGTCACGAGTGATCTTGTCTAATTGAGAAAGAGTGGAAGAAGGTAGCATAAAAGACTACATATAAAAGTTAGGAATGGAGGCCAGAACGGAAGAGGCCAAAATTCTCCTTCCAGCCATTGAGAAGAATTTGTCTTCCAACCATCTAGCTTCGCACGAACCTTGTCTAATATGAAGTTGCAATCTTGCTTCTTAAGCTTCCTAGGGGAAAGAGGGACGCCCAAATACTTCCCTAAGTTCTCTGTTTGAGGAAATTCTAGGATACTGCAAAGCTCTTCTCTAGAATTATGCTCCACATTTCTAGAGAAGAAAATACCAGACTTGGATGTATTAATCTTTTGGCCAGACCTGTTACAAAAAAAACCCAAGATCATTTTTAGAAAAAGGCAATTTTGACGAGAAGCCTTACCAATGAATACTAGGTCATCAGCGAAAAATAGGTGGGAAAGTAATGGTCCCCTTCTGCCAGCTTTCGAGCCTTTCCAGCTACCCATATTAAGAGCTTTGGACATACTCAAGGAAAGGAATTCCAAACATAAAACAAAAATATAAGGTGAAAGGGGGTCTCCCTACCGTATTCCCCTAGATGGGGTAAAAGGTTCAGAGCTTTCTCCATTGATCAACACAGAAATATTAGAAGAGAAAATACAAGAGAGGATAAGCTTTATGGTAGCAGGAGGAAATTGAAAGAAATTAAGAGTTTCATGAATAAAGCTCCACTCCAGACGATCATACGCTTTCTCTAAATTAATTTTGATAATCATGTCCCCAATGCATCCAGTTTTCTTGTTAAAAGAATGAATTAGGTCTTGGAGGATAATAACATTATCCGTACCCTTCCGGCCTGGAATAAAACTAGCTTGACAAGGAGAAATAATGGTGTCAAGTAATGGCTTGATTCTGTTGACAAGCAGCTTCGAAATGATCTTCTATGAAGTATTACATAAACCAATGGGACGAAACTGCGTGATAGATTCCGGGTTCTCAACCTTAGGGATCAGCACAAGAAGGCAGTTATTCCACCCAAGAGGCACAGTACTACTGGAAAAAGCTTGCAAAATGTCAATACAAACTTTGGATCTAGTATGTTCCCAGAGTTTCTGATAGAAAAAAGGATGAACCCCATCCGATCCTGGTGCCTTAAAGGGTTTCATGCTGTTGAGAGCCCTCCAAATCTCATCCATAGTGGGAGGATGGGCCAAGCTAGATAATTGCAGTTGAGAAGAATCCCATTCTAACTGGGCAAGCTGATAAGAGTCAGAATAAGAGTGGGGCATAGAAGTAGTAAATAACTGCTGAAAATAATTATTGCATATTGTACTGATGGAATATGAATCCCAAGTCCATTCCCCAATCGAGTTTTTGAGACCCAAAATTTTGTTGTGGGAACGATGTTTAATAGTGGACACATGAAAGAATCTAGTATTTCTGTCACCTTCTAGAAGCCAATTAGTTCTAGACTTCATAAACCAGAGGTCCTCCTCAAATTTCAAGATATCTGCGTATTCAAGGGCTAGATCTTTTTCTAGGCAGGAAAGGAAAACATTGTGTCGAAGGGATAGGTATTTGTAAATACCCTCCAATCGAGCAAGAATTTTCTTTTTTCGCTTGAACAAGTTCCCAAAGGTGGCTTTACTCCAAGACTCAGCTCTACTCATCATATTGGAAATACATTGACTTGTAGAAAGCTTGCTTGATTGCCATACTCCTTGCCCCAAGCTTTGAAATTCTGGGTGGTCAATCCAGAATTTCTCCAATCGAAAGGGTTGTTTCCCAATAGCCAAACGTGAGGGGTTAAGATATAAAAGTATAGGATTATGATCAGAATGGACTCTGGGAAGGTGAAAAACAGTAGCTTGTGGAAAGGAGATTCTCCACTCAAGGTTACCCCAGACCCTATCCAAGCATTCACGAATGATATGACCATTGAATTGCATGTTAACCCAAGTGAAGCGGCCACCAGTGAATCCAAGATCCATCATATTACATCCATTCATACAAGAAGAATATGCCTCAATCTGAGATTGATTAACAGGGGAGCTCCCAAATTTCTCGGATTGGAATAAAACATCGTTGAAGTCCCCGGCAATAATCCAAGGACCCTTAAAATGCTCTGCCATGTTAAGAAGTTCCTGCCAAAGTTGGGTTCTAATATTGAATTGTGGACGGCCATACACCCTAGTAAAAAACCAATTAACATTAGAAATAGAAGGAGAAGAATGATTGCGTACCTTAACAGTTGTATGAATAGCTTGAGAGCTGGTTGCTACTACGTCCACCACAATCTGGTTGTCATCCCAAAGAAGCCATAAACCCCCAGCATATCCCTCTGCATCCACAATGTGGTACTTTGGATATAAACCCAAAGCTAATTGGGAAGCACGCTCACCGGCAACTTTGGTTTCCAAAATTAGCATCATTACAGGAGCATGAGTGTTCTTTAAATCCCTGAAATGGCGCATGAAATTTTGATTGGCCGCTCCGCGGCAATTCCAAGCTATAATCTTCATTGACCAAAAGTTAGTGTTGAGTAAGCCTAATGTCTCCTTAGCTAACTTATGGCTGAGGATCATTGAGTTCTCGCTTGGCACATTGCATACCATCTGGGCATTCGGAAAATGGAACGGTAACACTGTGATCTCATACTCCATCTCCCTCTGGATTTAGGGATGTGGAAGGATTCGGGTGAACAGGTATACCATTTTCATTGAGCCCAACAAGTGCAGGCAGCTGCAGTATGGGTGGTTCAGGGGAAAAAACAGCTTGTGTGGTTTGATAAGGCCAACCATTTTGCCTATTGAGGTGCTTCCTGCGCTGAAATTTAAGTCCCAAACAGAGAGTAGATTTGACCTCGTTGGCGTTTCCAGAGTTGGGATCTGCATCAAGTGGATGAAATCCTGGGGATTCAACTCTTTTTTTAATACTAGCGGGCTTCGCCATGCTCGCATTATCCGATGTTCGCTCCATGGTTGAGGCCCTAGGAAGTCTGGTTGTTGTAGAAAGAACATTGCTGTCTCCAGCGGTAGAAACTCTCCATTGCTTGCTAGAACCACCTGGATCCTGGGGTTTGTGACTAACTCCTGGAATGGGTTCTCCATCAATCGAGGATTCGGGAACCTTAATAGAGAAGAAGGGGTGGTTTGAGGATAAGGTAGGAGGATGTTGTGGTTTGTGGGAAATCGAGGCAATATCTGAAGGAGTGGTACAAGCGGTGGCCTTCACCGAAGCCATGCACATAGTTTGGATGTCTTTTTGGGCTAACAAAGGTGATGCAATCCCATTTTAGTATCTTTTGTAGTATTAATCCGCTCGAGTAAACCCAACATCGTGAATGAGTTATTGCTCCAAACACCTGCTTCTTCCTCATACCAGCTCCAT